GGGGGAGCTAGATATATAGGGGGGGAGATATCCGGGGGTGGGGAATGTTGCTTGAAGGCCAGAGTCAAATACGAGAGGGGCGCTGACTTGGGGAAAGGGAGAACATCTCGAGGATGCAGGTTCGCTTATTTACACGAGTATTCGGATCTGAGCGGCTCCCGACTGGAGGATTCCCGGCCCCAGGGTCCAAAGTCCTACTCGGTCAGCCTCTTTCGTCCGGTAACCCCGCAATGCGTAGGACACGTCACGTTTCGTTGGACGCGCCGGGAACAAACGTGTTGGGGTTCTAACCCCAAATGGGAAAACGAGGTCGCGGGTTCACGTGAGGCTGGCTGATTTGTTGGGGTACTTGGTCCTACATAGGCGTATCAGCTAGGATCAAGGTGTTGTTTCAAGCTTATCCCGGGCGACGACAAAGTCTCCGACAGTCCGAGCGGAGCCGACCATCCCCGACTGTCAAACATGGCCTTCCCCTCCAATCGCTCAAAGTGCTGGGATGCATATGGATGCCGTCTTACTGAGGAGTATCTCGATTCCGAGCAGCTTGCTTCCGTTTAGGAAATACGATTATGTTCCCCGCTCCATAGTCATGGCCCTTAACATGACCCTTGACACCGGTTGCAACGGGGTATCACGTTCCAAAGACTATTCATATCAGTCGTCGCACCCTGACTTAACGGAGAACGCTGTTCAAGTGAACAGACCTCCCTCAAAGTCTCCGTTCATTATCAATTCTTCGCCGTGATACTTCCAGGTAGTGAAGGAGTGTAGGTAAACAACTAGTCCGGAGCGGAGCAAAAAAAGGGTGAGCTCTCTCGATACAGCACAACAAAAAGGAGAAAGAAAGAAGCCAACGCTGTTATTTAACTGGCTCTCATCCAAACTGTGTCGCCAGAGCCAACCCAGGCGATACTCAACTGCGCTTCAGATAATGAATGTGGTACTGAACACTTTTCCTACACGAAGCCCTCACTCAACATCCCGCACGAGCCTTGCACCAACCCAGGCGTAGGGGTAGTTGCGCTGGTACCAGTTGACACTATGAGGCGAGTGTCAGTAAGTGGGTCTTTTGCTTTGATGGAAGAGTTGAAGGATAGAATAGAAAAGGCTAGAGGGCCTTGGAGGGGGGGAGCAGCGAAATATAACATCGTGGAGAAACAAGAATCGTATAATCTGAACCCGAATAGACCATTATAGCAGTATTGATGTATGGCAAGATAGGAGAGAGAAGTGAAAGAGCGAGCCAGGAGGAAGAAGTGAACGAGGGAGAGGAGAGAGAGGAGAAAAGAGGGAAGAGGTTCAAAACACCAGATAGAAAAGTAGAAACTCAAAAAGGACTCAGACTCACAAGCTCCGCCTCCCCGCAATCCTCGGATGCGTCGCCCACGACCCGCCCAACACAATATTGTGCTTCTCGTCAAAAAAGTCGGCCGTGTACCCGGGGTAAAGCGGCATGGGCTCGAATCCCTCCCACGGCCGCAACGCGCTGCTGGTCCACTCCCACACGCCGCCCATGCCGGCCTGGCCCGCCAGCTGGTTACCGCGGGAGGTGACGGGGGTGGGGTCTATTTGGGGGGTCATGTTAGTTTATTTGCTGCTTGGGTAAAAGGAAGGGCGGTGTGACGCGGTGCTTTGAGAGTGAGGTGATAGCTCGAGGGCATGCCATAACAGGGAAAAGGAAGACAGGAACTCCACATACGCCAGTGGCGGAAGCCGATATTCGTGCCATCCAACTCGACAAAGGGCGATTCTTGGACGCTGGCCTCGGCTTCAGCAGCGCTGCTGACGCCAGGCGGGGTGGCCGGGGGCGAGATCTCGATGCCGTTGTTACAGAGATGGCTTTCCGCCGTCAGCACCACTTCGTTTCCTAAAAGATTATTCACAAGAAAAACCACGACTCACCTGTTCACGGCCGGAACCGTCTTTCCAAGCTGGTTCTCGGCCTGCTTCTTCTTGAGGGCTTCGGCGTAGGTGTAGACGCTGCGGGCTTCCTCAAAGGTCGGGGATGCGCCCGCCCATCCACGCGGCGCAACCGGCCAGCTCGTCGTAGGACGCAAACACGGGCCAGTCGAGGGCGTGCTTCAGGGGCACCAGCCCGTAGACGGTGCGGACGGCCTTGCCGTTGAGGAAAGACTCGGGGAGGGCGACGTTAGCACCACCAGCTGCGCCGTTAGTGCCGCCGTTAGTATGGCCGTTAGTCTCGGTGCCGTTAGCTGCCTTCTCCTCCGCCGACGCGTTGGGGTCTTGAGCCCATGAGGCCGGGACCTTGGCGATGTGAGAGCTGTACATGTATTGCGCATACTGATAAAGTCAGCCACCCGCACTACGGACCCTGACAGCTTCAGGAATACCTACCTCCTCGTTGCTGATAGGCCTGCCCTGAGCCTGGAAGGCATTGACCTTGGCCTGTCTCACGGGCTTCTCATTGTCCCTAGCCACCATCATCAGCAACAAACACCATCAAACGGTCCCGCCAGAACAACTCACCAGCCATAGTTAACATCAACGTCAGTCCCATCCTCCGGATCATCCAACCCAATGACGATTTGTTGCTCGGGAACATCAAACCACTCGTTGGGAACCCTTTCCGCACGGGCCTTGACCGCGAGCTTCTCAAAGTCCGGCACGGGAACAGACGGGGGCGGGCGGGTCCTATCGCTCTGGAGCATCATGTACAGCAGGGTCTCGAGGTGCATGGCCTCATGCTCAAAACCGACCCAGATGGCGCGGCCGACATGGCGGGGGATAGCGGCGATGCCGTCGGCGTAGAGTCCCTGCAGGCGGGCGCGTACCCGGCCCTGGTAAGCGCGGATCTCGTCGACGGGCGGCCACTCGTCCGGGACCTCGGAGTGGGCGTGGCACAGCTCCGGGTTGTCGACGTCCGGGTCGATGCCGCGCTCAAAGATGGTGTAGTACTGGGCCGGATCGGTGGGCGGCGTGTTGGTGGTCTTGCTGAGCTGGATGTCGAGAAAGGTGGGGATGTGGCCCAGATAAAAGATGCATGCGTTGCGGAGCTTGATAGGCTTCCCGAGGAACTCTTCGGGAGGCAGCATGTCACGGGTGACAACGTCCCAAGCAGCCCACAGGCCCTCCCAGTCCTCGAGGGACGGGAGTGCGGTGCGGGCGTAGACGGAAGGAATAAGGCTGAATGCCATTTTCGGTTTGGCGAGCATATGAAGGGCTCCAAGGCGCGATCACGTCAGTTGAAATGGTTCCCAAACGGTTCAGATAAGGGGGTCCCGAGAGGTAGGGTTCCCCCCGGAGGGGGCCGCAGTGCCGACCCCGCAGGCCGGCAGCCACCAATAAGCCATTGACGACAACGCCGCCATGGTTCACTTATAAGCCGGGTCGTGTGACAGGCCCCGTGCGACCAAAAGGCGTGGGGTGCGTCTCGGAAAAGTGATGTGGCTGGCTCAAAAGGGAGATGCCGCAGGTGAAACCCCTTTTTTAGAGGGTAATGGAAAAAACAAGGTACTCACCGTATTCCTTGCGGTGCCTCCATTGGGCAATTTCTGTCATACCGGAAAGCTTCCAGAGCTTTTCGGATTCTGCAGCCGAGTACTTGAGGCTCTGTTCGACCTGAATCCGCTCGTGGGGTTGGACCCGCTCGCCCATGACGGTCGTGTCACGCACCGGGGCATAGAAGGCCTGGTGCCGGCCGCCCTCGGCGTCGTACACATACTCGCCAATGACGCGCCAGTCGTTCTCGACGAAGGCCGTCTCCCCGAGAACCCTGTTGGCATGACGGAGACCATTCAGGATAAATCTGGATTCGTCAGCGCCCGGTCACATGAACCCATCATCTACTGGCATGTTAAATGCTGCAGGGGGTTTGAAGTGGTTGGCATACTGATGGGTGACGCCCTCCTTGTCTTTAATGTGTTGAAACGGTCAGAGTCAATACGCGCAAGTCACAGTCCATGAATACATACCATTATACGCGTGGCTAACTCTCTGTTAGTGTCCCGACGGTTTGAGAGTAGCTGGGCGTTCATCAACACTACTTACTACACCCTAGCCGGGTCGTCACAAGCATCCATGCCAATGAGCATGGTGTCGCCGGGGCCAAGGACATCGGCAAAGCCCTTGAGAAAGGCGGCGGCATCGCCCCGGTCAAAGTTGCCTGCAAGAGTCGTGTCAGGTGGGCAGGGGGGGGGGGCTCTGGGTCACACGACAACTAACTCACCAACACTGGATCCGAGGCTCATGATGCACTTTTGGCGCGAGGCAATGGCCGGGTTCTTGAGCCAAGCTTGGCCGTCATCGTAGGTCCCGAGCAGTCCGTGGGCGCGGACGTGCTTGTAGGAGGGTAGCTGGGCAAGGGTACGTTCAAGTTCTTGCTGGGAGAGGTCCAATGCGTAGTAGTCGATATTCTTGGCTGCGTCTTCGAGTGCCTGCAGAAGCAGGTTCACTTTCCGGAGGTTGCTGGATAGGGAGGTTAGTCGATCACGGTCACGGTCACTTAACGACTACCATGCGGGTGCCGCATCCGGGGTGTGTTGGCACGTCTGTCACTGACCCGCTGCCGAGCTCAATGATCATAGCCCCTGACGGGATACCCTTGACAATGTCGGCGGCATCCGACGTGAGCACCTCGATCTCGTCATTGGTCAGGTAGTACTCGTCCAGGTATGTGATCTGGCGTAGGGGTTCGAGTTAGCGTGGGGTGAACACGCCACCCCTGAGAAGCCGGGACCCAAAGGGAGGGCTCGAGGAACGCCTCACTTTCTCAAACAACTGCAGGCCCCTCTCATCGTAGAGTAGGAGGGTGGGGAGCTTCCTGGGCCCATCCTCTTTGTGAAACGAGGACAGCACCTCGGTCTTGAGGTTGAGCTCGACCGCGGCACGGCGAATGTCAATGATGTCGAGCTTTGGGTGGACAGCGGTGTGAAGATCTGACATCCCCTGCTTCTCCTTGATGGCCCCCAGGCGGGGCATGGCGCCTTGTGGCGTCACGGTGGCTTCTTGGACGACAGGCATGTTTTGTCTCTCGCGGGACTGGCTGTTGAGAGCTAGGTATGATCTGAGGGCTTGGACAAACTGGAATGGCGAAAGCTATGCTATATAGCTAATTGTTTTGGATGTAGGACTCAAGTACCGACGGGGAAACTTGGAAAACAAAGATGGGGCGATGGGACTACTCCTCTGGGCCAGCTACCCTCCCTATAAGTCAGGGCAGTGACCTCGGGAGGGAGGACCTTCCGGTTGTATGTGTACATCGCCTCTCACCCACCAGAACGCGTGCACGGGTAAGACTGTGGTCGATCCCATGTTCTAGTACATGTACCCGCAATGTATATGCTAGGGCGCTGGAATCCAGGTACCGATTGTGGACACGCTCGAGGACCTTGGAAGCCAGTGCCGTTCACGTCAGAGGGGTGCCGTTATTTTTAGACCCCGCGGGTTGGTAATAGCAGACCCGCTGCTAGATTTCAATTGAATAGGTTGCCGTAGTTGTTAATTCCGAAACAGATCAAAGGCGGTCGCAGAGGGATGGAAGTGACCAAGGAGATGAGATGATTGAAGAGTTTGCCAAAGGAAACCCTAGAGGGGCAGGACTACCTACCTGCGTACCTGCCTCCAGTGTGTAACCGGGCTGGAACAAAAGGAACAGTCAGGTCATGCCAGGGCAGTTAGGTACCTTCCTGACAGACCTCTCAAGCCCTGGCATGGAAAGCCCTGGATTAGGTCAGTTACCTCCCATATTTATCGCCGAGAGTTGAGTAATCTGCCCCCCCGGAAACAGCATTGCTTGGGGGTCTGGGAATATGGATCCGCGTTCGTCTCTATCCATGCTGATGACACCGTGGAGCACCCTCAACCATCCGGTTCCATTCCAGAACAAATTCAGAAACGGATGCAGGCCCCACGGCAAGTCTGGTGAGCGACTGCATGGAACGGCTGAAATCCTTTTGTCATGGAATGACCACGAGCATCGCGGGCGTGCTGATGGGAGTGGGAGTTGATGATGCAAGGGACAAATCACAGGAGAGGATCGGGTTGGTGAGTGCCAGCGACCCCACGCCCGGCTTAAGCTCCCTGGTGGGGCGGCTAACTCGCGCATCTCTCGGTGGGTGGAGCGGCTTGAGTGGCACCTGGAGTGGGTGTGGGCGTCAGTGCTTGTGCCGCCGCATCCCAGGCTAGTGGCCCTGGACCTGAGCCTGGCCTGGAAGCGTGAAGGGGAGGAACCGGAGTCTGGGTGACCCAACAAGCGAAAGAACAATCATGACAAACAAGAGAATAAAACGTCTAACAACCCAGTAAGTATATCTTTGATACAAACAAGGCTGGCCTAGCTCTGAAGTCCCATCATGCATGTACGTGTCTTGATATCCTAGTGTCTCAGGAACAAACATCTACGTAGGTACTGTCCAACAATGCCAAATGGATAAGAGGGTATCAAAGGAGTACCTTAGTACCTTCCAAAAGATTAACCCGCGGTTCCCTCTCAACCGCATTCTACCTTTGACCTTGTGTGGCCGAAGCAGTAAGTCCAATGTTAGAGAGTGACAGCATAGGGCAAAATTGTGATCTCACTTTGCGAGTAGCGGTAACAGAACGACGTCTTTTTGTCTATCAGCCAATGCCATTGCCAGGCACTTCTGTTATTTAACTACAAAATATCAATGCATCAAGTGCCACATCGAGGTTGAAGTTGAGTTCTATTCGGTAGCCGTCGTAAAGGACAACCGTGTTCCAGTCTCTCCTTGACATTGACCTTGACATGCCGTGGTCGCCGTCGGACAGGCTTCCAGGCCTCCGCGATCAGATACGGGGGCAGGATTTCAATACAGCAAGTATCATCTTCAGCCGTCTGCAGGCGAATAGGGATCCCGAAGAGCTCGAAGCGCTTTACAAAGGCGCGAGATATCCGGTAGGCGATCTCCAGTTGACAGCTGAGGAATTCGCCCGACAGGTCGATTCGATGAACTTTCACAGCAGCAAAGCTTGCTATAAGTTGATCAAATCAATGGGTGTCTTAATCCCGATCGGATTCGACGGTCCCATCATTTACCGTCTTATCGTACATCCTTGGGAGCTCCGACCCCATCTACTGGAGGATGATGTGGCCTCGCTGTTCGACATGTCCCAGTGGTCCGAGTGGTCCGAGCCGTCCGCGTCGTCTTGTGATTCACTGCTGCCGTCTTATTTTCTCGGCGTGAACTTAACCGTCAAGCCATGCCAACCTCCATGTGACGGACCTGGCAATCCGTCCGAGATATCGACGCGATCGGTCGAGAGCGCCGATGCCGACGTAGATGCGCCTGGCTTTACGTTCTTCCAGCTCGGGGACCTCGAATATACCGGACGTACCAACGGACGAGAGGGTCCCTGGTTGGATAGCAACGAGGAACGGGCATATTCATCGTATATAGAGGGCTGGGCTGAGACCGGGTTCGTGGTAGTGGCGAGGCTGAATCCGTCTGGGCGTACCGATGGCATCTACGTCGTATATGACATGTGTCGGGACATCGCCGCACGCAAAGACCCGGAATACCCCAGCGCCAAGGAGACGAAGATCATCGATAGCCACTCAGCGGTGGGGTAAACCACCCACCGCATACTGGCGGCGCCTACCCAGTTACAAGATACGGGAAGAACAGTTCTCGTGTGCAAAGATTGCGCCGAACTTCTCGAGCTTTGGAAAAGACTACCAGGTAGTCTGGACAGAGCAAACCAAGCACCCGGTCGAGCTGGTCCGGGCGAAGCGCTTGGGAGACGGTTGGATTGTACGGACCACAATTGACGAAAAGATCCAGCCAACAGGAACCCGGATCACGCCGGCCGATGCATCAATTTGAACGGAGCAAACATCCCCCCAACAAATCATCGGCAGACCAATGACGCCGAGAACCCCTCCTCTTACCCCTCTCGGCCTCGGGAGACCCCGCGTTGATGGAGATGAAAAGGAGGAGCACGGTGTGGGTTGCTTGCCGAGATCCCTTCCTCGAGACGCGAACGCGAAAGAAACCCAGCACCGCCAACCCCGGAGATGCATGATAAATCCGTCCAAGTGCACGATTTGAAATCGCTCAACGGGTTGCTTTGTGTGTGGGGCCAGGGGGTGACGAGACGATGCAAGAACCTTGGAAATTATACGAGGAGTCTTGCTCACTTCATTATAAGCCGCAGCATGAGCTGAGCTGATGGGTGTTGAGGATGCTTCGGTGCGCTTGGAGCTGTCGTGGCTTTCCTGAATGGACCCCTTGCAGGGCCATGCAGGCCATCGTCGACGTCATCTGGGCCAATGGGATCCAACACCCCACGCCCGGAGGGCCGGCGCCCACCCACGTCCTCGGCGGTGGGGTTGCATGGGAGCCGTTGTTGCGGAGCAGTCGTGGGCCGCGGGCTGCCACGTTCCCCGAATTGACTGAATCCGATGTGTACAGGCTCGAGATAGAAGATAGACAGACTCGGAGAGCCCCAGTACTCGCACTTGCAACGGCAGATGATATTGTCGGAAATAAACAAGCTACAACACGCAGGACCTCTCCCATCCGACTCCCCTTTAACCTAACCCCCCTTTTCCCGAACCAAAACGCCAAATCATGCTACCTCGCTTGACGCCATTTAGCTCAAATTGGGCAGTCTATACTCTGAACGAGGGGAAAGAAAAGGCAAACAAGTAGGCAACCATATTGCCCCCCTCGCTCGCTCGCCCGCCAGATGCTCTTTCTCCTCCTTCAGATGTAGTTATCCACCATCTCCCAGATCTGCGACGTCATCTTAACGCCCTGCTCGGTGATGATACCATCAATAAGCTCCTGGTCCGCGTAGTCTACCTCGATCAGATCCGTAACCACGTCGACCAATTCTGGGCACGTGTAGGATGACCTCGAGCCCACGACCGGCTTGACACCGAGCTGCCCGATGTTGTTGCATGACTCTCGGGCGTAAGCCGACGCGTTTTACCATGACGGAACTCACCCGTGTCTTACGGCACATCTTGTACCTATCGATGGCAACGTAAAAGCGCTTGATGCCCCCCTTGACCGTCTTGGTCAGGTGCGCGAGCTGCGCCGTGCCCATGCCCGAGATGATACCGCCGTTCTGCATCACCACCTCGGTGACCCACCAAAGCACCAGGTTGATCTGCTTCTGGTTCCCGAGCACGTAGGCCACCTTGTGGGGCGAGATGGTCTCGACCTCGAGCCCGGCCTCGCGCAGCTGCGCCACGGCCACGTCGCTGCGCTTGTTGTGCCCGTCGACGATGTAGATGACCTTAAAGTGCTTGCTCTGGTCGGCCGCCGCCCGGAGCAGGATCTTGGTCACCGTCCGGCTGGCCCCCCGCCGTGAGTACCACGCAGCTGTCTGAGACGTACCGGCTACCCCATATGGCAATACTGTCCCGGTCAGCCTTGGCACGTTGGGCAAAGAGGTCTTTGTTGTCGAGCAGATGTTGGCGAGTCTCCTCGAAGCTGAGCACACGGTCAGACCCGCTCGACGTAGTTGTTGCGGTCGGCCCTCTAAGCGATCGCAGCAGGTATTGCTCGAACAGATCGGCCCCGGCTAGCAGCGGGAGTGGATTGGGGGCCGAAGCGAGGAGCTTGGCCTTTTCTTTTTTGACAATTTCGACAAGCTCCATGGCGGTCGAAGAGGATGTTTCCCGGAGCAGTTCGATGAGGGACTCGATGGCAGCGACGCCCATCGTGAGCTCACGGTCGGAGTTGAGGAGGTCGCGATAGGTACGGACGATGCTGCCGCTTGTTAGCACAGATTTGATTTAACAAAGTGTAACCCGAAGCTAGAGCCGTGCTCACTCAAATGCCGCCCCATCCTCACGATGCGTGGGGTTGGATGTGGGACTTGATCGAACAGGAAGTTGAGTTGCAGCCCCTGAAGCTGGTGCTGGTTGTGACGAGTTGTCGGCCGCCATGGTATTGGTTGTGAAAAAGAGTGAAACTCCAAAAGTAGGAGGCCGATTTCGGCACAGCATGCACTTGCTCAAACTGTAGGGTCGATGGTGGGCGTCTTTATAGTTGATAGAGGAACCGCGGGGTAAAGAATACGGAATCTGGGCGATGGAGAGATGAGTCGGGGTGATGGAGAGAAGAAGTTTGATTGTGGAGGTTGGGTTATCTGAGCACCGAGCGTTTGACCCCAAGGCGAGTATTTTGTGTTGATATGGTAATACGCCACCAAGTTGATTCGTCTGATCACAGCATTTGTCCCAGTTCTGGCTTGTGACTCAAGGCTCAATTGACTCGAGCTCGAGGCATTCTGCCGGAACACACCGCCCTTTTATCTTGATGCCCCGCAGTTCCGCTCGGTGGGGTACCGTGGGAGGGGCATGGCGGGGTTGTTCGGGCAGTGAAGCAGGCACCGATCCGACTCCCCACCAGGAGCCGGCACATTGCATCCCCGGTCGAGTGCCGGGGCGGTAAAGCTCAGAATTACCTGACCTTGGAATTACTTTACTTTGCCGTGCTTGACTCTCAGGATCACTTCGCTCAGGTAAACGGGAAAACAACACAACGCAGGATGGACCCTTCAGCGATCATGGACCCGGCGACGGGCCGTCCTCTTCCCCCCGACGCGATTGTACGCATTCTCCGTAAGACTTGTTTCTCTCGCTTACCTTTCCCTCTGTCCTCCCTAAAGTTTAATTGCAATACCCTCCAAATAGCATACCTAACCCGCTAACAACCAACCCAGACATAACCAACAAAGTGCACGTCTACTCCCTCCCGCGCGACGCCGTCTCCACCACAGCAGGCTACGCCGCCGCCTCCTGGACCACCGACCCACGCAACCACATCTTCACCGCGCGCCTCCGCGTCCTCGAAACTTCCTTCACCTCCTCCCCATCCCAACCCACCCCCGAATCCACCACCCCCGAACCACCAACCCCCCCTCAAACCGACGCCGACGACGCCCCGCAACACCTCAAAGTCGACATCCTGCTCGAAGACCCGTCCACAGGCTCGCTCTTCGCCGCCGCCCCGTACACCGCCGCCGCCGCCGTCGAGCCCACCACCGACAGCTCGCGCTTCTTTGCCCTGCGGGTGCGGGACCCGGCCTCGGGCCACAAGGCCACGCTGGGGGTGGGGTTCGAGGAGCGTAGTGAGGCGTTTGATTTTGGCGTTGCGCTGCAGGAGGCGGGGAGGGCGTTGGGTTGGGCGCCTCCGGGGGCTGGGGGTGGGGTGGGATCGGGGGGAGGTGCGTTGGGTGGTGGTGGGGGGAATGGTGGTGGTGGTGTTGGTGCTGGGGGGAATTTGTTGGGGGGGTTGGGGGCCGGGGAGGAGAAGAGGGACTTGAGTTTGAAGGAGGGGGAGACGATTACCGTGAACCTGGCGGGGACGAGGTTTGGGCGCCGCGCGGGCAGGTCGGACTCGCAGGGCGAGAAGAAGGAGGGGGAGGGGGGGCAGAGCCTGGCGTCGTTTGCCCTGCCGCCGCCGCCGCCGCCGAGCGCGCGGGAGGTCAGGGCCCAGAAGAGGCTTAGCGCTCAGCAGCTGGGCTTTGATGATGGGCAGTTTGGTGAGTTTGCTTGATACCATACCTCATCTCGTGTGTTCTTTTGTGCTGTGCTGGAGGCCATGTTGGACGATGAGACAAAGCTTCCTTCTTCCCTTGTTTGTGTGGCGGGTCCGGGGGTTGGTAGTGGCTATTCGGTCCCGAGGTCTTGAGGCGACTAGACCTCAAAGAACTTTGGACTTTTGGATGTCTAGGAATAGCGGGCTTAACCGTCGGTTTCCGTTATGTTTTGGTCGTAAATCTCAAATTCAGAGTTTTAAGCACTGGGCTGGAAACTTAGATATCTGGAGCCTGAAGCTGTCTAAATATAATGTTCACACTTTCATTATGTGTTGAGTCAGATCGACGTGATAGTAACGGTGGTGTAACCCGGTGCATGACTTTTTAATGATTCGAGAATAGGGGTATGCACTTGAGAATGGGCCCCAAAAGGAACGCAGGTTCCCAGGCAACCACGCCGGGTGTTTAAAAGACCCATTCATGCCGTTTCCAACCCCTTAAACTTCTTTCTCAGCCACGCAAAACACCACGGCTTCCATATTTATCTCGCCCCTCGTAGAGTTCGAACCCTCGGCGTCGTCGACTCTATTCACTCAACGGCAAAATGAGCACTAGCAATGAGACAGAACCGCCTGCGTGGGGTGTTCTCCCAGTAGAGCAATACTTGATTGTGAGTATCTATTTCAACTAGTTGGCCCTCCTCCGCCGCCACCTTCTCCTCCCCATCCGACGACCTAACCGTAATCACCACTAACACCCCCCCCACTCTCCCAGCGCAAATGGGACCCCTCATCCAAGCTCAACCCCGACGAGCAACGCGCTGCGCTGTTAGCGGCGTACATCGACGAGGACGTACTCGACCCGGAGCTGTTGGCATCCCCGCCGTCTCGCATACCCACAGAGGCCGAGATCGCAGAGATCCTAGCACCGTGGCGGCCACAGAAGCTGCGCTGCATCGCCGCCAGCTACGTGGTGCCGAACAGCGGCTTCCATCAGTGGTTAATCCTCAGAACGTATTATGGCGGCGGTGCTGCCGATGACGCTAAGCTTCGGGATTGGCTGGATCTGGATGAGTGCGAGGGGTCCCAGATCCAGCCTGAGGATGAGTGGCACTCCGTGCTGGATGACCCGGCGCTGTTTGATGTTGGGGATGACTGGCAACGGGTGTACACGCTGCTGCCGGAGCTGGCGGCGCGGGTGCCGGATCGCCGGTTCACCGACTGGCATGTTGAGACGGTGAGGAACTTTGCGGCAATGCACAAGAAGCCGGGGGAGGGGGTTGATGATGAGGAGTATGAGGACTTAATAATGCGGTATGCAGTGATGGGCTCGGCGTGGCTGCTCGTGTTGGATGAGGATGCTTTCGAGGCGGGGGAGTTTGGTCTGATTATGCGAGACGCAAAGGGGAACCCGGTCAAAGAGACTACGATCAAGCCCGATCACCTGCAATACTTTTACGTGGCATATGCTATTAAGGGCTCGATATATGAGTCGGAATACTGGCAGGAAATTGCAGTGGGGGAGAGGTACTGGACCGGTGGTAAGATCATGGGCGAGCTTCTGGCAAGGGTGAAAGGAGAGTAGAGTAAGTAAGCAGGATTAGGGGTGGGGTTTACTGGGCTGGCCGCAATTCAAGTCTCGTCACACTCTCCTTGCGAGGGGCGTTTCACTAAGCCTTCTGTGAATTAAGTCTCAAGAGACCCCGGAGCGCTCTAGGTAGATAGGTAGGTATTCAGATTAACCAGATAAATACCATGAAACCCATCAACGAATCTGCTCCCCTTCCATGAGCATATAGATGGGATGAATCAATCTTAGGTTCATGATACCATACATTATTGCCCGCCTCCTAGCCAGCCGTCGACTGTAAACTGCCCCTGCGTGACCTCGACCACATATTCTTGGAATAAGGTAAGCTCAACCGCTTGTCCTTCGCCTTGAGTGACTTTGGCAGATAAAGCGAGACCCTGCGCAGCTTATCCCTCCACGCCAGCGTGTCCTCCGCGTCAGAGTCCCATTTGGAGGGACTGTCGCTGTCTCTGTTGTCATCGACAGCATTTACACCGTTGGTCTCGTTGTTACTGGCCGCCCTGCGCTCGGTCTCCTTCCCCGCGGTGGAACCGGATCCCCCTTCCCCGTTGTCGACCCCTAGCCGTTCCCTTTCCCCGTCACCAACCTCGCCCTGCCTCGGCCCGGCTGCAACCGGCTCGTCGACGAGCTGTACCCAAATCAAAGCCTCCCCTTTCCCCTCTTCCACCATCGCCCCAGTCTCCTCTTCATTTTCTAACCCCTCTCCCATCACCTCCTCATTATCCATCCTCCCCTCATACACCGCGCCGTCTTCCACACCTTCTCCTTCTCCGACCCTGACCTCAACCCCATTCACCTCCCCGTTTATTTCCCTATCAACCTCCCCACCAACCTCGTTCTCCATCCCTGCCCCCTCACCCGCCACCTCACCACGCACACCTTCACCACACACACCTTCACCACTAGTACCCTCACCGCCCATACCCTCCTCATACCCCCCCTCCCCAACCCCCCCAATCTCCACAACCCTCTCCTCCACAACCACTCCCACCCCCTCCACACCCTCCCCCTCCCCCTCCCCATCCACAACCACAAACCCCAACCCCGGCTCAAAACACGGCGACAACGGACTCAGCAACGACCCTGACCTGGCCGATCCCGACTCCGAGCCACACGAGAAATAGTCTGTCGCAGTCGCGGCGGGCGTGACGGGGGTCATTTCCTCGTGGCAGGGGCTGAGGGTGCATACTGCTTCGTTCGTTGAGTGGCGGGTTGAGTTTAGGCTGGGGAGAGGTGGGTTTAGGTTGGGGGGAGTTGGGTTTGAGAAGGGGGTTGGGAAGGGGAAGG